CCGTCTATTGAGTTTAGATAAGTATTCTCCCTCGATTGGTATATAGAAGTGCCTGCCTTGCAATTTTTTGTTAACCCGCTTAAGGTTAACACAACAACGCCACCCATCCGGGCTAGCCAGGGCAAAAATTCATATGATCAGTATGAGAAACCTTATGCAGAACACTACAGCACTCGGATATATTTTCCAGAAATAAATATATCATATTCTCTGTTAATATTTTTTTTATCCCTACACTCAGTCTCGGACCTCGGCTCTCGGCTAGCCGGTGGCCCGTATTCTATAAATAGAATAATCTGAGAAGAAGTCTCAAATTACTCTTACGTTCTCTCGGACTGACCCACCTATACTTATATTAATTTGAGAACAAGTCCCAAATTACTCTCGGGCTGACATAAAACGTTATTGACATTTATAAAAATACGTCTACTACTGTAGTCTCTCACTAACAATCATAACAAGATAATTCACTGAGAAAAGAACAGGATCAGAGTTGTTAGAATTTAGGACAACATGGTTTTGATTCCTCCTAGTCAGCCAACTAGATGTTCCCGTCTATGCCTTAAATGGGATGGGGAGCTAGGTACCAAGTGATGGGGTATAGGTGCAGAGGAATCCTGCACCAGCTTGGTGATTTGCTTTTATTTTTTATTTTCTTAAGTTGGACTCAGAGGTATTTTATTGGTTAGCTTGATTAGGTGATTGTTTCGAGGCGTGAAATGTAAACTAAGCGTCCAATGAAATGATATATAGTCTTAGTAACTAAAACATAAATAAATCTAGACCGAAGTAGTGAGTGATTAGAGTGGAGCATATAGACAATAGTCTCAGTCTAAAAATTCCCTAATCTTTTGCTCATTACTAAGGGCTGAAGCTAAACTTATTTAACATTTTGCATTCTAACGTTTGAACGTATTGTCTCATTGACGTAAATGTCTTGGTGTCGTATAGTCAGCCTAAGGATACCGACTTTTACACATGGGGCGTTTTCTAAACGCCAGAAGTTTGGAGGAGGCAAACATGAATTTGTGTCAGACTGGAACCCAGTGAGACTTGAAGTCCACAATAGCAGAGATTGGATTGATAAAGATGTTCATTACAATGCTACACGCAACGCTGATCTGGATGTCATATTGCAGCAATTCTTTACGGAAGAAACCAGCAGTATATTCCATCAGTCGGTGCCATCAGAACTTGTGTCTACGGAATGGAGCATGGTATATGCGCTGATAAACAGTAAAACTATAAAAATGGTGCTGGTGAATCCCACTGCACAGTTGAAGGTACTAGCTGAGGCGATTGCATCAGATCAACAGTTTAAGCTAATGTATTTCAAGGAATACATGGCAAATATATTTAAAAGAATCTTGGCAAAATGCTGGACAGGATTGTTGGAAGATAATGCTTCAATGGTCGGTATAGAAGACTGGTGTCTTACTGGTACCATGGAAGTGGCCACGGTACTAGCTCGGGTAAAACAAGCTAATGAGGCCAGTGCCGTGACAACGCAAAAAAGACTCAACACTTAGCAAATGTCTTAAGGAAGTTGCTTTGGAACTAATTTCTAGAGAAATGATGAAACCTCATGTTAGATATCAGAGAGTCCTGGATAACTTCAAGAACTTAGCTAAGCAGCGTGGTCAAGCGGTAATAAGTTTGATTGAACCAGTGTTGGCCGACAGATTGGTCCAATTTGGTTTAAATGCAAAGATGTCATTTCCGTCTTTTGGGGATCAAGTCATGGCACAAGTGAAGACTACAGAGATCGATTTAAAGAATTTTGTATCTGCATGTTACCACAAAGAATCGGAGTGAGTGGTGGCAGAAAACGCTTATGAGTCAGATGGCTTACCACAAGTGGTCTAGGTACAGACTGAGATACAGGAAGCGTCTAAGGGTGAGCGCGGGCGCACAGGAGGAGGCACTCTAGGCGCTGCTACCAGACAGGTGTCGGGCATGACTGGGTTTGTGGCGACTACGAATTGATTTGAAGGATTCTGAGAGTTTGAAGTTCGGCACTTCTAATTTTGTGAATCTACAAAGAGGCGTGTAATACGCATACAGTCTTAGGGCCTTTCTTGAGGGTCTCTGGCAAAGAGTACAATTACTCTTCTGGTTTACTCTATAGTATTTGAGTTATGCTATAGGTTTTATAGAAAGAAAACCAAACAGTAAGTGAGCAATGTTGAGTTTGTGAGAAATGAGAGACTACAGGTCTCAGGCGAGATTTTACAGCAAGAAACCATCTTTAATTTATGGAAGTCATCTGAGTTAGCTCACTCCCTAGAGCTAAGTCATCAGAAATAGCTCACTCTCGTGAGCTATTCAAGTTGCTTAAATTACTCCCAAGAGGGAGTACCTTCATTTTGGTAAAAAAACTCACCCCCATTGTTCGTGTCCAAACGCCTTTTTGCCTTGAAAAGTATCCTACTCCCGATTTACCATATTTTTTTTCAGTGCAGGGACTCAGACAAACTTTCTTAAAAACAATGGGATTGAAAAAGGAGAAGAGGTACTCAGACTTGTTTTCTTAAAAAAAATGTTAAGGAGTAGAGGGACTCAGATAAATTTTCTTAAAATATACTTATTTAACCATGGAGTAAAGGCCCAGAATGTTTTAAAATAATCTCGATCCGATCACAGCCTCATATAGGGATAATATTATTTTTTTCAAAAATGGCAAGTATGTATGATACAATGTATGAACATATGGTATGGCTCTCATAGTCGCTGTAGTGGTTCAGGAAAGATTGATGGGAAGTAGTGGTCAGTAAATTCCCGTTTGAAGCTTGGGCCAAGTGAGTCGACAATGGAAGATATGTGCTGAGTCAATTCGGGCCGGTGTTGACAAAAT